GTTGATAACTTTTGAAAAATAAGAAAAATCGATTTTTCTCTAATTTTCCACGATCGATTTGGCCAAGTAATAGCGTTTTAGAAAGCTCTTGGAACGAGCTTTCCTGCAGTGCCATTCATATGCGTGCACTATTTTTATTGCTGCACAGTGGATCATTTATGTTTCCCTCTTGAAAACACTTGACTTTAGGAAAAATATTTTTTAAAAAAAATCTGCCCGATTAATCTTTCAGGAGTGTTCATATATTGAAAGTATACCTCATGGGCTTTCCAACGTGCTATTCCATGAGCTTGCACTATTTTTAGTTTTCGCACAGTGGGACTCGTTGATAACATTTGAAAAATAAGAAAAATCGATTTTTCTCTAATTTTCCACGATCGATTTGGCCAAGTAATAGCGCTTTAGATAGCTCTTGGAACGACCTTTCCTGCAGTGCCATTCATATGCGTGTACTATTTTTATTGCTGTACAGTGGGCCATTTTATGTTTCCCTCTAGAAAACACTTGACTTTAGGAAAAATATTTTTTAAAAAAAATCTGCCCGATTAATCTTTCAGGAGTGTTTATATCTTGAAAGTACACCTCATGGGCTTTCCAACGTGCTATTCCATGAGCTTGCACTATTTTTAGTTTTCGCACAGTGGGACTCGTTGATAACTTTTGAAAAATAAGAAAAATCAATTTTTCTCTAATTTTCCACGATCGATTTGGCCAAGTAATAGCGTTTTAGAAAGATTTTGGAACGAGCTTTCCTGCAGTGCCATTCATATGCGTGCACTATTTTTTATTGCTGCACAGTGGGCCATTTTATGTTTCCCTCTAGAAAACACTTGACTTTAGGAAAAATATTTTTTAAAAAAAATCTGCCCGATTAATCTTTCAGGAGTGTTTATATATTGAAAGTACACCTTATGGGCTTTCCAACGTGCTATTCCATGAGCTTGCACTATTTTTAGTTTTCGCACAGTGGGACTCGTTGATAACTTTTGAAAAATAAGAAAAATCAATTTTTCTCTAATTTTCCACGATCGATTTGGCCAAGTAATAGCGTTTTAGAAAGATCTTGGAACGAGCTTTCCTGCAGTGCCATTCATATGCGTGCACTATTTTTTATTGATGCACAGTGGGCCATTTTATGTTTCCCTCTAGAAAACACTTGACTTTAAGAAAAATATTTTTTAAAAAAAATCTGCCCGATTAATCTTTCAGGAGTGTTTATATCTCGAAAGTACACCTCATGGGCTTTCCAACGTGTTATTCCGTGAGCTTGCACTATTTTTAGTTTTCGCACAGTGGGACTCGTTGATAACTTTTGAAAAATAAGAAAAATCAATTTTTCTCTAATTTTCCACGATCGATTTGGCCAAGTAATAGCGTTTTAGAAAGCTCTTGGAACGACCTTTCCTGCAGTGCCATTCATATGCGTGCACTATTTTTTATTGCTGCACAGTGGGCCATTTTATGTTTCCCTCTAGAAAACACTTGACTTTAGGAAAAATATTTTTTAAAAAAAATCTGCCCGATTAATCTTTCAGGACTTTTTATATCTCGAAAGTACACCTCATGGGCTTTCCAACGTGCTATTCCATGAGCTTGCACTATTTTTAGTTTTCGCACAGTGGGACTCGTTGATAACTTTTGAAAAATAAGAAAAATCAATTTTTCTCTAATTTTCCACGATCGATTTGGCCAAGTAATAGCGTTTTAGAAAGCTCTTGGAACGACCTTTCCTGCAGTGCCATTCATATGCGTGCACTATTTTTTATTGCTGCACAGTGGGCCATTTTATGTTTCCCTCTAGAAAACGCTTGACTTTAGGAAAAATATTTTTTAAAAAAAATCTGCCCGATTAATCTTTCAGGAGTGTTTATATCTTGAAAGTACACCTCATGGGCTTTCCAAAGTGCTATTCCATGAGCTTGCACTATTTTTAGTTTTCGCACAGTGGGACTCGTTGATAACTTCTGAAAAATAAGAAAAATCGATTTTTCTCTAATTTTCCACGATCGATTTGGCCAAGTAATAGCGTTTTACAAAGCTGTTGGAACTGCCTTTCCTGCAGTGCCATTCATATGCGTGCACTATTTTTTATTGCTGCACAGTGGGCTATGTAATTTTCTTCCATTAAAAAATAATCGGTATGATGACGAAAGTTTTTTATTGAAACACCTTTAAATTAGTTATTTTATTTTTTTATATTTATAATTATGTTCATTATCAGGTACAAACAAGAATAACTACAAATTTAAAAAAATTGCATTCTTGTTTCGCATCTTCAAAAATCGTTTTTTATTTTACGTCTACAAAAATCGTTTTTATTTTCCGCATATCTGTTATACACTGTTATACAACAGAAAGTGCGCCCAGACTGGGTGTTGTCTTCGCTAGTTAAAATCGATTTTATCTTCACGCACATAATTCAAACAACATTTGTTACATTTACACCAACTACAAATCGGAAGACATCGTTTTCATTAATTGTGCCAGAATGTACATGTCGTTTCAACAATGCAACCAAGCATACAAGCAGATACGCCATTATCTAATATACTACTTAACAATTGCTACTAGGAAATATTGGATTCCGCTCTAATTTGTTACAAGGATTCCATCGCGATGGGGTAACACAATCGACGGAGTATTTGACGCGTACATCTACTTATTTGACCACTCTACCACCACCGTACTACCTATAACAATCCAAGGCAAGAAAATATATAATACTATATATACGATACCACAGCCGAACCCATTACGGCCACGGAGTATATAATCGACACTATTGTTATTTCGCCTACACATTTGCAAGTACCTATGGTGAACAGTTTACTTTTATAACAACTGTTACTACCTTAATTGTGGTAGTAACAGTAGTTATAAATCAGCATCAATATAATTCAAATTTCAATCAAGTTTCAGCCACTCCAAAAAGCTTGGGTAGTTCCATAAGTTTACAAGAGCAAAATGTAAAGTATGCTTTTAACACGGAAGTAGAATTATAAGAAAATATTGCGGAACTTCAAACTATACCAGACATGTTAAGAAAATCTGGTAAAAACATAAGAGCAGACGCAAAGATGATTCTAAACTTGAAGATTCCAGCATCATAATGTTATATGTGTCAGAAAAAAGGCCAGGTGAATTTAGCACAATTTTGTCAACATTAAAAGCCGATCATTCATTACCAAAACGTTCCATACAGAGTACAATAGAAATAAATAAATTAAAAAATTATATAAAAATAAAAGGGCACTGTTTTTTATGCTAATAAATTTCTTAATTTTTTTAACCGCAAGTGCTACTTCATAATTTATTTCTTAAAGTTATTGTCTCCTTTTATGTCTAGAAGAGAATATACATTTGAATGTTAGTCTCCCACAAATTTCAAAACTAAAAAAATATGTCGGTAGTATTACACTTTGTTTGCATTGTTACCTCATATTAATTCTCTCTATATTTGTAATGAAACTAACTGTTAAAGAAGATTGTAAATATTTTTCGCATATGACTAAGCTCGTTGAGATCTGTCAATGTCAACAGATTTCAAAGAGTGACAAATTTCGTCTACGGCACCCACCTTCATGTTGGGTTTGTTGCTTGTTATTGTTGGAACATACTCTCTCCTCTTCTATCATTGAATTCGAGATTACCACCAAACCATTTACTTGCTGTAGATAACTCCCGGCTTTTGATTTTACATTTAAATTTAATCCTCTATTGTGTTCATATCGTCGGACTTTGCATTCCTCGTTGTCATAACATTGGTCACTTTGCACTAGATTACGAAGCCATCAAAACCAACTAATAAAAGTGATGGAAAAATTATATATTTTGATATTTTCGATCCATACTGGCGAACTGCAAAAAAAAAATCCAAGGATTCTATTCGAAGGTCTCACCGAGCTGAATCCAAGTATTGTAAATAGACTACAGGTTCCGCTCAATGAGTTCTTATTAACGTTATGACAGTAATATAATGACTCGTCCATTGACTTATATTAATACAGAAACATTCAAAAGGTTTAGAGGATAACAGTGTAAACCCAGAAATAGAGAGTGAAATAGCTTATAATACAACATACACGATTAATTCCTACTTGAATACATATTTACACAATCCTTCAACAGCCCTACTTTGTGAAAATAGAAAATCAGTTAACAGAACAGATCACTCCAGGCATTTTAAAAATTCAATAAATATGGGACATAAAAATGAAATTTTTAGCTCATTGTCCCTGTTTTCTACTTATTACTATCATTCAAATAGCGAAGTGATGTCAGACATCGAGTTGAGAAAACGGCATAAAACTATCTCAGTACATCCTTATCTAAAATCAATGCTAATATGTTAGAGAGAAGTAGGCAAAACTAATTTTATGATTCAAGCGTAAACATGATATCGAGTGAGCTATCTATATTATCTTTACAAACTGATATACCCCACATACGTACTTCATAACTCTTTAATCTGGGTATGAAAAGAATTGTAGGAGTCATGTGGAAACAAACACTGTAACTAAAATGAAGACGTACATATCGCTACTAAAAAACATTAATACTTTTTACATTTTGTTGCGTGTGGCCCATGCAAATATTTGTTGTTTATAAAAAAAATAACCAGCAGCAAGTCCCCGTCCATTGCTGCCGGCAAGTAAAAAGAGATCCGGATACGCGCGGTGGCCGGCTTATATGCAAAATCCCAGCGTTGCCACATGCAATTATACTTGAGTAGGGAAATACAACTCTGGAGTGGAGAATAGTAGGGGTAGGGGTGCGTTTAAAGCATAATATGATAAATAGGAAAAATCCGGGAAAATTTGAGAAAAGAAGGAAAATAAGCTTGCTTTTTCTCCCTATAAAAAGGCAAAGCGGGGAAATGTCTGTTTTATTAGTCTGTGGTTTGTTGTATGCAAGTCATTTTCGGTCGATAAAATAAAAAAAATAACGTGTGACAGCTTTTTGTTTTTAAATTTATACATAAAAAACATTGGTCTGTTGTATTGTTTATTGTGTTTAGTGTGACTTATTTTTATTGATGTTGGTATGTGACAAAAACAGAAGTGAGTACGGTATTTTATGTTGAGAGTTTTGTTTGTACAATATGTATTTGGTTTAGGTCTCGCCAAGGATAGTCACCAAACAAAAAGATTCTGGACCCTCCATATATATATTTGGAGGCGGTCAGCAACCATTTTTGGGGATAACGTCTAGAAGAACCCATTCAAGCCCCACATCAAGATAACAAGCCGCCATTCAGGAAGTGGCCAAACTTTGTGTATGTGAGCCCTTGTGAAACGTCTTGTTCCGTACTGCATGTAATCTGTCCTGTGTAAACGTTATGACCCGGACCTAATTTATTCCGTGGGCCTGAAAAGAAAGAAAAGAAAGCTATAAGTACCGGCCTAAAAAGGTAACATTTTAAATTATTTACTTACCTTGCCGTAATATAAGTATTTGGTTGCTTGCAATGGCCATGAAAAATTAGCGCCAAAAAGGATACTTTGACGAGAATTAACTGTACTGAAATTAAAAGAAAAACAAGATTTCAAATTACTATACAAAAGAATATACGCAACAGAGATCAAAACCACAAACTACCACAAAAGAAAAAAGACAAATTTAAATTATATACTACTTTCCAGAGAACGGCCCTTGTAAGCCATCATCCACATCAAATATGCCTGATGAGCCGCTTAACCAACGGCGAAACGCGTCGCATAGTGGTGAGTGTGTGATAGTGTCTATCTGGCTTTCCTTTTCACTGCAAATTTCAGATCATTAAGCTCGTCTCGAAAGAGAAAACAAACACTTAAATCATAAAACATATGATCTTCGCCTTAACAAGGCAAAACTCAAAAATTCAGGGGAGCCTGGCTGTGGGATTTGAACCGCGGACCTCTGTGTGCAGCCAACTAGAAGTTGCCGTCTCTACGTTCAGAGCCATTAACCCGTCTTCCTAAAGCAGCACTAAAACAAGTGTATGCATTGGAAGCAATGTAGTTGTTGTGGACAAAAAATCCATCACTACAAAAAACAAAACGTTGCTGTGAAAAAAGATCTGCCAATAGAACTTGAGTCAAACCTGGAGAGTTTCTAGTGTATAATTCGCATATGCTAATTTGCAATAAGTTCGAAATATATACTACTTTCCAGAGAACGGCCCTTGTAAGCCATCATCCACATCAAATATGCCTGATGAGCCGCTTAACCAACGGCGAAACGCGTCGCATAGTGGTGAGTGTGTGATAGTGTCTATCTGGCTTTCCTTTTCACTGCAAATTTCAGATCATTAAGCTCGTCTCGAAAGAGAAAACAAACACTTAAATCATAAAACATATGATCTTCGCCTTAACAAGGCAAAACTCATAAATTATTTTATGTTAAATTAATTGTGAACGTCCTTAGATTAGTCTATTACGTAAGTTTCATTATTTGTGAAACTTCTTAATGCCAGGGAACCGTAAGCGAGTGTAGGTTTACATCATTGAATTGAGGCTTCGTAAGGCTTGTTTTTTACTGGATTAAAAAGGCAATGCCCAGCTCAGGCCTTTAAGAGAGCTCTTTTAGGGGAAATTAAAATTTGAGTTAGCGGCCAAATTTGGCAAATTTGAAGTCTTTGAAGTTATTGGTGGTTGCCTTATTAATGGTTCACAAAGTCCGCAAGTGTTGTTTAAATTTTAATGTTTAGGATTAAGATGATAATGAAAATAAAATGTTTTTATGTTTGTAATTATGAAATGTTAAGTGTTTACTTTTGAGAGAGGGACCATGAGTGTATGTAATTGATTACGTACAAAAAAAAAAAAAAAAAATTTAGTGCAATACAATATTAGCCACCACTTCTGTGCAATACCAAATTGCCTTAACATTAACGTGGCAAGGACAAATTAAAAAAAAAAAAAAATTATATTGTGCAATAACACCTCAGCACAAAGCAATAGACAATAGGGTAATAGGGCAGTCGGTAAATGATATGTCGCATTTTCTAAGTACTAACGGATATTGCATCCACTTATTTTTTTTTAATCTGCGTTAACTGTGCAATATTTAGTTTAGATAATTAGAAAATTAGGACATATCGTTTCATAAGTTTAGACCCTAATAGCTCTTGTTCGTTAATTGTAACAAAGAATGTATTGTTTTCATGGCCTGTTTTTATGTTGTTGTTTATTTTTTTAGAGTAGATACAATAGACAAAGGTTAACATAAGGAGAAGTGTGCAATATCTGCAGTGACTATGTTTTTCGCTGACTGTATTGTGCAATAAGTACTCTGAAAGCTGAAGAAAAATGCCTTGATGTTATCCTTTAATGTTCAATGTACATTGTTTGTTTAAGTCCAGTCTATCAATACATCATGAAAACCTTTTTAGGACGCTTTATATTTAAATGCTGATTAATTTCAACGCAGTTTAAAACCACGCAATTTATCCACATCAGTTACTGAAAATACACACTGGGACCTCTCGTATACGTCATTTTTTGTATTTGTAACCCACTTTTTGTTTTTGAGTAGCATTTAGTGTTCCCTGTTCATTTATTTTTTTTATTATTATTAATCAATATATTTTTTAATTTTTATTTATATTCATATTTTTCTTTGTCTAATTTTTATTTAAGTATTTATCGTTTGTCTAGCTAGTTGTTTTAATTTATGTAGTAGATAGAATATATTTTGTGTTCAAAAGCGTATGTTTTCCTTTTAAAAAATCGTCAACAAAAACAAACGAAGATTCTAATGAGCGAAAAGACAGAAAATAAGACTTAAGCAAATCGGAGAAAGAAGAAAAGCAAACGAAACCGTTCTCTAACTTTTGATTTAAGTCGCACGTCAATTTCCTCGCCATTACCAAAAGTAAAAAAAAAAAAAACAAACATGCCAAACACAAATGATAGAACTGATCCATCAATTAGGGATCTCTCTGGTTCCATTACGAATGCCAATCCCAGCACAAGTGTCGGGCCAGACTGAGACAAAATGATCCCCAATCAAATTTTCAGCCGAATCCACCAACTCATCCAGTAGAGGTAGACAATTTAGTGAGATGTTTGGTGCACGAAAGTTAGGCGCAGGCCAATAATAATCTTAAAGGTTTAGTGCAGGAAAGTGTATGTAGGAAAATGGAGAAAGTATATGGAGTCATAAATAGACTCAGCGATGCTGTATCCAAAATGTCCATTATCCCATAATCCTGCAGCTTCGTCAGAGAATGATAATCCCAGAAACCAACCACTACATTCGTATAACAACAGACCATCATTCGACAACTATTTGAATCAGGTTCCACCGCGGAATGGGGACCATAATTCCCAATTTAGTCGAAGGAATACGGTCACACCGTCTTTCTTGAGTTTTTCCAGTGGACAAGGCATAAGAGTTGAAAGGTTTGGGTTGAATTTTTCAGGCAGACTAAATAGCCTATCAGTAGAATACTTCATTTATCGTTTGGAGTATTTCCAGGAACATTATTCACTAGAGTGGTACGATATCCTAAATGAGTTCCATATTCTACTCTCAGGACCTGCTTACGATTGGTTCTGGTTACAAACAAGAGTGTGTCAGATTCGACTTCATTAAAACATGGCCTACTAGTACGCTTCAAATCCAGGCGTACATGTTTTGAAGAGATGAGGGATTTGCTAGAACGTAAACAATTGCCTAATGAAAGCATAGATGATTTCTTTCACGATATAATTTCAAAGCGGTCAAAGATGGAAAGACCAGTTTCAAAATATGAGATGATATCCTTGTAGAAGAAGAATCTTAAGAAAAATCTTACGAGTATTGTTTATTCAATGCCTGTCTAATCTCTCGAACAACTGAGAGTAGAATGCCTAGAGGTTGAAAGAACGTTTTTTCGTCGGGACCCAGTCCGAAATCCACAGCCACAGTTCAACAAACCCATTCGGGTAAATGAGATCCAAGAGGAATTAGGAAATATGCAGACCTTTGATGAGTGTGAAGGGGTTGTGGAAGTTTCCACGATAGCTACCCCGTTGGTATGTTGGAACTGTCAAATCCCGATTGCCTATTGACTCTGTTTTAGTAGTGGATGAAATAGATTTGGAAAATGAATTGCTGGATTTCGAAACAACGGCTTTTGACAGTGAAGAGTACAGGGAACTGCGGAAATGTTACCTGATTTGAAAGTTGAAGAGGACAAAATTTATATTAGAAGTAAAAATTTCGAAGCAGACGTGGCAGAATTTGAGTGGAAATTATGGATACCACTTGACATAACATATGTCCTCATAGAAAAGGCGCATAATTACAAGAATGTGGTGCACGAAGACATAAATAAAACGCTTAACCGTCTGAGAACTTTTTATTACTGGACCAAGATGGTGTCGCAAGTAAGACAGTACGTCAGGAAATGTGATGTCTGCAAAGAAACTAAATCTTCAAACCAGCACATGAATCCTACCATCGGCAGTGAAGTGGTCAAAGAAAGACCGTTCCAAATATTGTACGTGGATTTTCTTGGAAAATATCCTAGGTCCAAGAAGGGTAATTCGTACGTTTTTATCGTTGTAGACCACATCACAAAGTTCACCTTCTTACATGCGATGAAGGAAGCAACCTCCCAAAACGTTGTCCGATTTTTAGAAGAGCAGGTATTTCACACCTTCGGAGTCCCAGAGGTTGTCCACAGCGATAACGGAAAACAATTCACATCAAAAGCATTTAAGCAAATGATTGAGAACTATAAAATACAACACCAGAAAACTGCCTTTTATTCCCCTCAGTCAAACGCTTCTGAGCGAGTAAACCAATCGGTGCTAGCGGCAATGATCAGCGAGACTAGGATCAATATTTATCCGAGATTGGACTAGCCCTTCGTACATCCGTGCATTCGTCCACCGTTGAAAACCCCTATTTCTCCCTTTTTGGGTATAACATGTTTACCAGTGGGGCAGATTATAAACTAGCCAAGAATTTAAAATCTCTGACCGACCCCGAAATAAAATCTTTAAATAACAGCGACAGACTAAATCTGATGCGGGAGAAAATTAAAAGTAATATGCACAAGGCATTTGAAAATAGTGCAAAACGCTATAACCAGAGAGCACGTAAAATCAATTTTTTTCCTGGCCAAGAAGTCTATAGGCGCAACCACATGCTATCAGATTTTAAAAATAACATCAATGCCAAATTTGGAAAAAGGTTTCTAAAATGTGGAGTTGTTGTTAAACCCATTGGAAATAACGTACGAATTAGAAACACTCCAAGGTAAACCTCTAGGGAATTTTCACGCCAAAGATATAAAAATAAAAAAGGGCAATATTTTCTGTGGTACTAGTAATATAAGTGCAAAATAGATTTAGAAAAGGAATGTTTGTGAACGTCCATTTTTTTATTTTGCATCTGTAATTATTAGTACCGATTATTGACCTATTTTATATTTCAAATCTTTTATGAGGCTGAGAAATGTCCTTAATTACCCGATTTTTTTTTATCTCAGGGTGTGGGAGTTCCCCACGTTGAGCCATACAAAAGAATTGACAGACCAAATTCGTAATAAAATAAAACGACTGTGATAAAATCCCCCACTGTACTTCAATTTAGAGCGCACTTAGCAAATTTCATGTTCTATCAATAATTTTTTAAGTTTTTTATAATGTTGCTGGAAAATATATGTGACAATAAATAACAGGCTGGTAGAAATATAAAAACAAACATTTTTCGGTTTGAAATATCAATGTACAATGCTTCACCTAAGTCGGGGTAAACGGTGGTTGAGAGTCGCTTGCCTTATTTGGTATAATTTGATTTTTTTATTTTTCCAATGTATATAAAACCAATGTGCAGGTATCAATTTATGTTGCGATAAATTAACCGTGGTATGAATTCTTTTAAATTGTTATTCTTTGTAAATCTAACCTGAATCACATCCTCCAAATAATTCACTGAATTCGTCGAATTTTTTAACGATCGCATTCAAATTTTCACATTCGTCTCGTATTAATTTATTGTGTACAGCAAAACTGCAAAACTGATCTCTCTTACTCCACAATGTTTATTGTCCATCTGTCCACTAGCCTCTGTCCGCACCAAAATACAATAAAATATTAAAAACTCGCCGTTTAGTAGTTGATCCGTGTCTGCACAGATGTTTGTCTAATGTGTTGAAAGCAGGTAGAAAATGTAGTTAATACACCAAAATATTTACACGAACTGAATTTCATTGTTGTCTTGAAGAATTATGTTGTTAACGTTTTTCACAGTTATGTTCACAAATACCTAAAAAATATAATAAAATCTGAATAAGTACAAATTAATATAATTTTTTAAGCAATCACTAAAAGAAAAAAAATTAAATAAAAAAGTTTTAAAACTAGGGGACAATGTAATTATTTAATTAAAAATTAATGTCAAATCACGCCAATACCCAGCATAAATCATTAATATCCGATTAATTAAATTCAAAAAGCACATCTCTAAATATATAGGGAAACTGAAAGGCATTAATTACTTAGTTTGCTAACTCTACACTTTTCTAAAAATATTTTGATTATTTTATTTTTTCGCAACATGTTGTTGTCAAAAGGAGCACAATTCAATTTCTATTTTATCTTGTTTACGCAGCTATTAAATGTAAATATCAGATGGATATTAATTCAATTTTCTTTTGAAAATATTTTTCACAACAATATGTATATTCACAGTTCACACTCAATTCTAAACACTGTCATCTGCTTTGCTAGGTTCATTTTTATTTGCATCCATAATTTTTTATTGCATCCATCCATTCGCGTCATAGGATGCACTTTAGTCATTCACCATTCAGATGTAAACACGTAAATTATTTCCCAGCAAACAAACGTTCCTTGGCTCCATAAACACACACACAATGTTTTCTTCTTTTTAATTCGTAATTATTGGATTATTTTCTACTGTGATGCAATGCATTTGGTATACTTGTAGAGGTGGAAGACAACAAGCAACGAACTATTTTTTTTCAACCATGCACATTTCTTTTGTTTTTGTTTTCACTTAAGGGACACACCACTGAATACTCACCAGGAATATCAAAGTTCCACCGCGATGTGTGCTCTCCTTTGTTTAGGATGGTCGTAAAATTGTTGCTGATGTAGTTGAAGGGTGGTTATGTTCCATGTCAGGTATGGATGACACCTTTGATTCCTTAAAGTGTGTCGGGTATTGTTTGTTTGTAACAGAATTGAAAACGCTGCAAAGAAAACAAAGAAAACGATTAGAAGGTCTAATTGTCAACAGACAAATTATAAAAAAATATTACCTGTTTTTCATTCCAAATTCCTTGTCCACATATAAATTGCTGTTTTATGCATATGCACCTCAATTCGAAATATGGAATGGGCTAGCTCTACCTACCCAGGTTGAGAAGTTTCCATGTGATGTCCATTTTATAGCTTTGATGTGTTAATGGGTTGTTCAGGAGATGAAGTCGTGTATTCCACCAAGTCACCATGGTCGTACGCTGAAATAGAAATAAACGTTTTAAATTAAATAAAATGTATTCTTTGAAGAAATAAACAAACATCTGCTTACCTATTTTCCTCATCCCAACCGCACGTCTTAGACATGAATGCGTGTCGATGCATACGCAGGTAAAGTCCAATGGCGGGCACACACGCACATACACATGTGGTATGAATGATGAGACAGCAATCAATATGTAGTGTTGCGCGTGCAAGCGTACAAACGCCGCAAAATGTATTTTCATTGATGAAAAATTTATTACCTGTAAACAAAATTTCAGATTAGAATACTTATAGAATAGTAAATTTTATAATTACTTACCTGTATCCACTCACCGCAAATTCCAATGTTAACCACTTATGCTGACTGCATGAGCACGTTGGATGTTGACCTGCGTCAATTTTTATCCTGGCTAATTTCGGCCATCACTTAGGTTTCGGAGCGGAATTTCTTTCAGAATCCAGGCACATCACCATTTCCATCATTTCCTTAGGAAAGTTTTGTTGCTTGAAAATAAAAAATATACCGTGTGACAGATTTTTGTTTTCAAATTAATACATAAAAAGCATTGGTCTGTTGTATTGTTTATTTTGTTTAGTGTGACTGATTTTTATTGATGTTGGTATGTGACAAAAACAGAAGTGAGTACGGTATTTTATGTTGAAGGTTTTGTTTGTACAATATGTATTTGGTTTACCTCTCGCCAAGGATAGTCACCAAACAAGAAGATTCTGGCCCCTCCATATATATATTTGGAGGCGGTCAGCAACCATTTTTGGGGATAACGTCTAGAAGAACCCATTCAAGTCCCACATCAAGATAACGAGCCGGCATTCAGGAAGTGGCCAAACTTTGTGTATGTGAGCCCTTGTGAAACGTCTTGTTCCGCACTGCATGTAATCTGTCCTGTGTAAACGTTATGGCCCGGACCTAATTTATTCCGTGGACCTGAAAAGAAACAAAAGAAAGCTATAAGTACCGGCTTAAAAAGGTAACATTTTAAATTATTTACTTACTTTGCCGTAATATTCGTAATTGGTTGCTTGTAATGGTCATGAAATATTAGCGCCAAAAAGGATTCTTTGACGAGAATTAACTGTACTGAAATTAAAAGAAAAATAAGATTTCAAATTGCTATACAAAAGAATATAAGCAACAGAGACTAAAACCACAAACTACAACAAAAGAAAAAAGACAAATTTAAATTATTTTATGTTAAATTAATTGTGAACGTCCTTAGAGAATTCTTAATGCCAGGGAACTGTAAGTGGATTGAGGCTTTGTTAAGCTTGTTTTTTACTGGACTAAAAAGGCAATGTCCAGTATCGGCCTTTAAGAGAGTTCTATAAGGGGAAATTTAAATTTGAGTTAGCGGCCAAATTTGGCAAATTTGAAGTCTTTGAAGTTATTGGTGGTTGCCTGATTAATGGCTCACAAAGTCCGCAAGTGTTAGGAATTCAAAATTATATAATTTGTTTTGTTTAAATTTTAATGTTTCGGATTAAGATGATAATGAAAATTAAATGTTTTTATGTTTACTTTTATGTTTGTAATAATGAAATGTTAAGTGTTTACTTTTGAGAGAAGGACCATGAGTGTACAGGGTTGCCCATATTCGACGGACCCATCTGGCAACGTCATAACTTTTGACAGAGATGTCACATCGCTTAATGACATACCGCGTTTGAAGCGTCAGTCTAAACAGATTTTTACCATGAACCAATACACGCCACGCGAGCGCTCTGAAATAGTTGAAATTTACATTCAACAGAAGAAGTCAATTGTGAAAATTCAACGTGCTTTTAAAACATTAAAAAATGTGAGAAGTGCGCCTTCAAAGAACACCATTAAGCGTTTATACGAAAAATTTTCGACTGGTAAGGCTCTTTCTAATCCGAAGAGGCCATATAAAAGTCGACCAAGGAGATCGGCCTAGAATATCGCTGCCGTACGAGCCAGTGTTGAGATGTCCCCAAGAACATCCCAAAAATGCCGTTCTCAGCAGTTGGGCATGGCTCGGTCCACTTTACAACGGATTATTCGCATTGATTTGCATTTGTTCCCGTACAATTGACGCAAAGAATGTTGCCTGCTGACAAGCCTCGTCGATTGGAATGGGCCCAAAAAAAAACATGGGTCCGTCGAATATGGGCAACCCTGTATGTAAATGAGTGGTAAGTGTTAGTGGAGATTGGGGCCCTCTAAATGTTTCATATTTATTAGGATCAAAGGGTCAAGGATGGGCGGGTAAAGTGTGGGAGCAAAATAACAACAAGTTTCCTTGTCATGGTTGTTTGTAGTGTTTGTCGTTTTATTTTGTGTGTTTATTCATTATGTAATTTCCTTTTTGTTTGTTAGACCCCTAGGGCTGATGGTGGAAGGGTTGAGAACCCCTTGACGTAAATATGCCTCGCTGAGGCTGTCGGAATCCCATCATTCACCGCTTCAAGCGGCACGTAACAGTATGGCTTCTAAGTTCCCAACAAACACTTCTAAATATAGGCTTCCAGTAAAACGATCTCGAAGACATACAAAATATTTACGAATCGAGCAATGTTATACATATGGTTCCACTTTACCTACAATACAGAATAACACTCAGAACTATGAAGTCCATATGTATACAGCTCCGGTGAAATGTCATTACAATGCTACTTTAACATCGAATAAGCGAATTAAGTGTGAAGCAGCAAGTCGACTTAGAAATTCCAAGCCAATAGGCGAATCAAGATACGAAAACCATGATAACGAGGAAGGAAACTACTTATGTACCATGCAAATACAAAATACTGGTCTAATTCGAAGCCGATCTAATATCCGGAATAAAAATTTGGTTGCTTCAGCACACAATATCATAAGTTCGAACAAGCGCTTAATAAGACCATCACGCGTGGTATGAATTCTTTTAAATTGTTATTCTTTGTAAATCTAACCTGAATCACATCCTCCAAATAATTCACTGAATTCGTCGAATATTTTTAACGATAACATTCAAATTTTCACATTCGTCTCGTATTAATTTATTGTGTACAGCAAGACTGCAAAACTGATCTCTCTTACTCCACAATGTTTATTGTCCATCTGTCCACTAGCCTCTGTCCGTACCAAAATACAATAAAATATTAAAAACTCACCGTTTAGTAGTTGATCCGTTCCAAAGCCTGTCTGCACAGATGTTTGTCTAATGTGTTGAAAGCAGGTAGAAAATGTAGTTAATACACCAAAATATTTACACGAACTGAATTTCATTGTTGTCTTGAAGAATTATGTTGTTAACGTTTTTCACAGTTGCGTTCACAAATACCTAAAAAATATAATAAAATCTGAATAAGTACAAATTAATATAATTTTTTAAACAATCACTAAAAGAAAAACATTTAAATAAAAAAGTTTTAAAACTAGGGGACAATGTAATTATTTAATTAAAAACTAATGTCAAATCACGCCAATACCCAGCATAAATCATTAATATCCGATTAATTAAATTCAAAAAGCATATTAATTACTTAGTTTGCTTACTCTACACTTTTCTAAAAATATTTTGATTATTTTATTTTTTCGCAATATGTTGTTGTCAAAAGGAGCACAATTCAATTTCTATTTTATCTTGTTTACGCAGCTATTAAATGTAAATATCAGATGGATATCAATTCAATTTTCTTTTGAAAATATTTTTCACAACAATATGTATATTCACAGTTCACACTAATTCTAAACACTGTCATCTGCTTTGTTAGGTTCATTTTTATTTGCAACCATCATTTTTTATTGCATCCATCCAGATGTAAACACGCAAATTATTTCCCAGCAAACAAACGTTCCTTGGCTCCATAAACACACACACAATGTTTTCTTATTTTCATTCGTAATTATTGGGTTATTTTCTCCTGTGATGCAATGCATTTGGTATACTTGTAGAGGTGGAAGACAACCAGCAACGAACTATTTTTTTTTCAACCATGCACATTTCTTTTGTTTTTGTTTTCACTTAAGGGACACACCACTGAATACTCACCAGGAATATCAAAGTTCCACCGCGATGTGTGCTCTCCTTTGTTTAAGATGGTCGTAAATTGTTGCTGATGTAGTTGAAGGGTGGTTATGTTCCATGTCAGGTATGGATGACACCTTTGATTCCTTAAAGTGTCTCGAGTATTGTTTGTTTGTAATAGAATTGAAAAAGCTGCAAAGAAAACAAAGAAAAAGATAAGAAGGTCTAATTGTCAACAGACAAATTATAAAAAAATATTACCTGTTTTTCATTCCAAATTCCTTGTCCACATATGAATTGCTGATTTATGCATATGCACCTCAATTCGAAATATGGAATGGGCCAGCTCTACCTACCCAGGTTGAGAAGTTTCCATGTGATGTCCATTTATAGCTCTGATGTGTTAATGGGTTGTTCAGGAGATGATGTCGTGTATTCCACCAAGTCACCATGGTCGTATGCTGAAATAGAAATAAAAGTTTTAAATTAAATAAAATGTATTCTTTGAAGAAATAAAGTCCAATGGCGGGTACACACGCGCATACACATGTGGTATGAATGATGAGACAGCAATCAATGTGTAGTGTTGTGCGTACGCACAAGCGTACAAACGACGCAAAATGTATTTTCATTGATGAAAAATTTATTACCTGTAAAGAAAATTTCAGATTAGAATACTTATAGAATAGTAAATTTTATAATTACTTACCTGTATCCACTCACCGCAAATTCCTATGTTAACCACTTATGCTGACCGCATGAGCACGTTGGATGTTGACCTGCATCAATTTTAATCCTGGCTAATTTCGGCCATCACTTAGTTTTCGGAGAGGAATTTCTTTCAGAAGCAACGCACATCACCATTTCCATCATTTCCTTAGGAAATGGTGAAGTTTTGTTGCGTGAAAATAAAAAAATATACCGTGCGACAGCTTTTTGTTTTCAAATTAATACATAAAAAGCATTGGTCTGTTGTATTGTTTATTGTGTTTAGTGAGACTGATTTTTATTGATGTTGGTATGTGACAAAAACAGAAGTGAGTACGGTATTTTATGTTGAAGGTTTTGTTTGTACAATATGTATTTGGTTTAGCTCTCGCCAAGGATAGTCACCAAACAAGAAGATTCTGGCCCCTCCATATATATATTTGGAGGCGGTCAGCAACCATTTTTGGGGATGACGTCTAGAAGAACCCATTCAAGTCCCACATCAAGATAACGAGCCGGCATTCAGGAAGTGGCCAAACTTTGTGTATGTGAGCCCTTGTGAAACGTCTTGTTCCGCACTGCACGTAATCTGTCCTGTGTAAACGTTATGGCCCGGACCTAATTTATTCCGTGGACCTGAAAAGAAAGGAAAGAAAGCTATAAGTACCGGCTTAAAAAGGTAACATTTTAAATTATTTACTTACTTTGCCTTAATATTCGTAATTGGTTGCTTGTAATGGTCATGAAAAATTAGCGCCCAAAAGGATTCTTTGACGAGAATTAACTGTACTGAAATTAAAAGAAAAATAAGATTTCAAATTACTATACAAAAGAATATACGCAATAGAGACTAAAACCACAAACTACAACAAAAGAAACAAGACAAATTTAAATTATTTTATGTTAAATTAATTGTGAACGTCCTTAGATATTAGTCTGGTACGTAAGAGAATTCTTAATGCCAGGAACTGTAAGTGAATTAAGGCTACGTTAAGCTTGTTTTTTACTGGACTAAAAAGGCAATGTCCAGTATCTGCCTTTAAGAGAGTTCTATAAGGGGAAATTAAAATTTGAGTTAGCGGCCAAATTTGGCAAATTTGAAGTCTTTGAAGTTATTGGTGGTTGCCTGATTAATGGCGCACAAAGTCCGCAAGTGTTAGGAATTCAAAATTATATAATTTGTTTTGTTTAAATTTTAATGTTTCGGATTAAGATGATAATGAAAATAAAATGTTTTTATGTTTACTTTTATGTTTGTAATAATGAAATGTTAAGTGTTTACTTTTGAGAGAGGGACCATGAGTGTACAGGGTTGCCCATATTCGACGGACCCATCTGGCAACGCCATAACTTTTGACAGAGATGTCACATCGCTTAACGACATACCGCGTTTGAAGCGTCAGTCTAAGCAGATTTTTACCATGAACCAATACACGCCACGCTAGCGCTCTGAAATAGTTGAAATTTACATTCAACAGAAGAAGTCAATTGTGAAAACTCAACGTGCTTTTAAAACATTAAAAAATGTGAGAAGTGCGCCTTCAAAGAACACCATTAAGCGTTTATACGAAAAATTTTCGACTGGTAAGGCTCTTTCTAATCCGAAGAGGCCATATAAAAGTCGACCAAGGAGATCGGCCTAGAATATCGCTGCCGTACGAGCCAGTGTTGAGATGTCCCCAAGAACATCCCAAAAAACGCCGTTCTCAGCAGTTGGGCATGGCTCGGTCCACTTTACAACGGATTATTCGCATTGATTTGCATTTGTTCCCGTACAATTGACGCAAAGAATGTTGCCTGCTGACAAGCCTCGTCGATTGGAATGGGCCCAAAAAAAAAAAAAAAAAAAAAAACATGGGTCCGTCGAATATGGGCAACCCTGTATGTAAATGAGTGGTAAGTGTTAGTGGAGATTGGGGCCCTCTAAATGTTTCATATTTATTAGGATCAAAGGGTCAAGGATGGGCGGGCAAAGTGTGGGAGCAAAATAACAACAAGTTTCCTTGTCATGGTTGTTTGTAGTGTTTGTCGTTTTATTTTGTGTTTTTATTTATTATGTAATTTCCTTTTTGTTTGTTAAACCCCTAGGGCTGATGGTGGAAGGGTTGAGAACCCCTTGACGTAAATATGCCTCGCTGAGGCTGTCGGAATCCCATCATTCACCGCTTCAAGCGGCACGTAACAGTATGGCTTCTAAGTTCCCAACAAACACTTCTAAATATAGGCTTCCAGTAAAACGATCTCGAAGACATACAAAATATTTACGAATCGAGCAATGTTATACATATGGTTCCACTTTACCTACAATACAGAATAACACTCAGAACTATAAAGTCCATATGTATACAGCTCCGGTGAAATGTCATTACAATGCTACTTTAACATCGAATAAGCGAATTAAGTGTGAAGCAGCAAGAAGTCGACTTAGAAATCCCAAGCCAATAGGCGAATCAAGATACGAAAACCATGATAACGAGGAAGGAAACTACTTAGGTACCATGCAAATACAAAATACTGGTCTAATTCGAAGCCGATCTAATATCCGGAATAAAAATTTGGTTGCTTCAGCACACAATATCATAAGTTCGAACAAGCGCTTAATAAGACCATCACGCGTGGTATGAATTCTTTTAAATTGTTATTCTTTGAAAATCTAACCTGAATCACATCCTCCAAATAATTCACTGAATTCGTCGAATTTTTTTAACGATAACATTCAAATTTTCACATTCGTCTCGTATTAATTTATTGTGTACAGCAAGACTGCAAAACTGATCTCTCTTACTCCACAATGTTTATTGTCCATCTGTCCACTAGCCTCTGTCCGCACCAAAATACAATAAAATATTAAAAACTCACCGTTTAGTAGTTGATCCGTTCCAAAGCCTGTCTGCACAGATGTTTGTCTAATGTGTTGAAAGCAGGTAGAAAATGTAGTTAATACACCAAAATATTTACACGAACTGAATTTCATTGTTGTCTTGAAGAATTATGTTGTTAACGTTTTTCACAGTTATGTTCACAAATACAGTACAAATTAATATAATTTTTTAAGCAATCACTAAAAGAAAAAAATTTAAATAAAAAAGTTTTAAAACTAGGGGACAATGTAATTATTTAATTAAAAACTAATGTCAAATCACGCCAATACCCAGTATAAATCATTAATATCCGATTAATTAAATTCAAAAAGCACATTAATTACTTAGTTTGCTTACTCTACACTTTTCTAAAAATATTTTGATTATTTTATTTTTTCGCAATATGTTGTTGTCAAAAGGAGCACAATTCAATTTCTATTTTATCTTGTTTACGCAGCTATTAAATGTAAATATCAGATGGATATCAATTCAATTTTCTTTTGAAAATATTTTTCACAACAATATGTATATTCACAGTTCACACTGATTCTAAACACTGTCATCTGCTTTGTTAGGTTCATTTTGATTTGCAACCATCATTTTTTATTGCATCCATCCAGATGTAAACACGCAAATTATTTCCCAGCAAACAAACGTTCCTTGGCTCCATAAACACACACACAATGTTTTCTTATTTTCATTCGTAATTATTGGGTTATTTTCTCCTGTGATGCAATGCATTTGGTATACTTGTAGAGGTGGAAGACAACCAGCAACGAACTATTTTTTTTTTCAACCATGCACATTTCTTTTGTTTTTGTTTTCACTTAAGGGACACACCACTGAATACTCACCAGGAATATCAAAGTTCCACCGCGATGTGTGCTCTCCTTTGTTTAAGATGGTCGTAAATTGTTGCTGATGTAGTTGAAGGGTGGTTATGTTCCATGTCAGGTATGGATGACACCTTTGATTCCTTAAAGTGTCTCGAGTATTGTTTGTTTGTAACAGAATTGAAAAAGCTGCAAAGAAAACAAAGAAAAAGATAAGAAGGTCTAAGTGTCAACAGACAAATTATAAAAAAATATTACCTGTTTTTCATTCCAAATTCCTTGTCCACATATGAATTGCTGATTTATGCATATGCACCTCAATTCGAAATATGGAATGGGCCAGCTCTACCTACCCAGGTTGAGAAGTTTCCATGTGATGTCCATTTTATAGCTCTGATGTGTTAATGGGTTGTTCAGGAGATGATGTCGTGTATTCCACCAAGTCACCATGGTCGTATGCTGAAATAGAAATAAAAGTTTTAAATTAAATAAAATGTATTCTTTGAAGAAATAAACAAACATCTGCTTACCTATTTTCCTCATCCCAACCGCACGTCTTAGACATGAATGCGTGTCGATGCATATGCAGGTAAAGTCCAATGGCGGGCACACACACGCACATACACATGTGGTATGAATGATGAGACAGCAATCAATGTGTAGTGTTGTGCCTACGCACAAGCGTACAAACGACGCAAAATGTATTTTCATTGATGAAAAATTTATTACCTGTAAAGAAAATTTCAGATTAGAATACTTATAGAATAGTAAATTTTATAATTACTTACCTGTATCCACTCACCGCAAATTCCTATGTTAACCACTTATGCTGACCGCATGAGCACGTTGGATGTTGACCTGCATCAATTTTAATCCTGTCTAATTTCGGCCATCACTTAGTTTTCGGAGAGGAATTTCTTTCAGAAGCCACGCACATCACCATTTCCATCATTTCCTTAGGAAATGGTGAAGTTTTGTTGCGTGAAAATAAAAAAATATACCGTGCGACAGCTTTTTGTTTTCAAATTAATACATAAAAAGCATTGGTCTGTTGTATTGTTTATTGTGTTTAGTGAGACTGATTTTTATTGATGTTGGTATGTGACAAAAACAGAAGTGAGTACGGTATTTTATGTTGAAGGTTTTGTTTGTACAATATGTATTTGGTTTAGCTCTCGCCAAGGAGAGTCACCAAACAAAAAGATTCTGGCCCCTCCATATATATATTTGGAGGCGGTCAGCAACCATTTTTGGGGATAACGTCTAGAAGAACCCATTCAAGTCCCACATCAAGATAACGAGCCGGCATTCAGGAAGTGGCCAAACTTTGTGTATGTGAGCCCTTGTGAAACGTCTTGTTCCGCACTGCATGTAATCTGTCCTGTGTAAACGTTATGGCCCGGACCTAATTTATTCCGTGGACCTGAAAAGAAAGGAAAGAAAGCTATAAGTACCGGCTTAAAAGGGTAACATTTTAAATTATTTACTTACTTTGCCGTGATATTCGTAATTGGTTGCTTGTAATGGTCATGAAAAATTAGCGCCAAAAAGGATTCTTTGACGAGAATTAACTGTACTGAAATTAAAAGAAAAATATGATTTCAAATTACTATACAAAAGAATATACGCAACAGAGACTAAAACCACAAACTACAACAAAAGAAACAAGACAAATTTAAATTATTTTATGTTAAATTAATTGTGAACGTCCTTAGATATTAGTCTGGTACGTAAGAGAATTCTTAATGTTTTTGTTTTTTACTGGACTAAAAAGGTAATGTCCAGTATCGGCCTTTAAGAGAGTTCTAAAGGGAAAATTTGAGTTAGCGGCCAAATTTGGCAAATTTGAAGTCTTTGAAGTTATTGGTGGTTGCCTGATTAATGGCGCACAAAGTCCGCAAGTGTTAGGAATTCAAAATTATATAATTTGTTTTGTTTAAATTTTAATGTTTCGGATTAAGATGATAATGAAAATAAAATGTTTTTATGTTTACTTTTATGTTTGTAATAATGAAATGTTAAGTGTTTACTTTTGAGAGAGGGACCATGAGTGTACAGGGTTGCCCATATTCGACGGACCCATCTGGCAACGCCATAACTTTTGACAGAGATGTCACATCGCTTAATGACATACCGCGTTTGAAGCGTCAGTCTAAGCAGATTTTTACCATGAACCAATACACGCCACGCGAGCGCTCTGAAGTAGTTGAAATTTACATTAAACAGAAGAAGTCAATTGTGAAAACTCAACGTGCTTTTAAAACATTAAAAAATGTGAGAAGTGCGCCTTCAAAGAACACCATTAAGCGTTTATACGAAAAATTTTCGACTGGTAAGGCTCTTTCTAATCCGAAGAGGCCATATAAAAGTCGACCAAGGAGATCGGCCTAGAATATCGCTGCCGTACGAGCCAGTGTTGAGATGTACCCAAGAACATCCCAAAAACGCCGTTCTCAGCAGTTGGGCATGGCTCGGTCCACTTTACAACGGATTATTCGCATTGATTTGCATTTGTTCCCGTACAATTGACGCAAAGAATGTTGCCTGCTGACAAGCCTCGTCGATTGGAATGGGCCCAAAAAAAACATGGGTCCGTCGAATATGGGCAACCCTGTATGTAAATGAGTGGTAAGTGTTAGTGGAGATTGGGGCCCTCTAAATGTTTCATATTTATTAGGATCAAAGGGTCAAGGATGGGCGGGTAAAGTGTGGGAGCAAAATAACAACAAGTTTCCTTGTCATGGTTGTTTGTAGTGTTTGTCGTTTTATTTTGTGTTTTTATTCATTATGTAATTTCCTTTTTGTTTGTTAGACCCCTAGGGCTGATGGTGGAAGGGTTGAGAACCCCCTGACGTAAATATGCCTCGCTGAGGCTGTCGGAATCCCATCATTCACCGCTTCAAGCGGCACGTAACAGTATGGCTTCTAAGTTCCCAACAAACACTTCTAAATATAGGCTTCCAGTAAAACGATCTCGAAGACATACAAAATATTTACGAATCGAGCAATGTTATACATATGATTCCACTTTACCTACAATACAGAATAACACTCAGAACTATGAAGTCCATATGCATACAGCTCCGGTGAAATATCATTACAATGCTACTTTAACATCGAACAAGCGAATTAAGTGTGAAGCAGCAAGTCGACTTAGAAATCCCAAGCCAATAGGCGAATCAAGATACGAAAACCATGATAACGAGGAAGGAAACTACTTAGGTACCATGCAAATACAAAATACTGGTCTAATTCGAAGCCGATCTAATATCCGGAATAAAAATTTGGTTGCTTCAGCACACAATATCATAAGTTCGAACAAGCGCTTAATAAGACCATCACGAGTTTCATCCGTTGCATCCGACAGATGTAAGTTTACTTTACGCGACAAAGGACTCAAAACAAGTCCAGAGAAACCTGTCCAGAGAGGAAATTTTCTCCAGCCTCAAGCTATTATAAACAATAAAGGAAGAAGGCCTTCTTCTTTCTCTACGTTACTCCCCGGAAAGCTAAGGCCATCCAGTCCACCAAAAGATAATGAGTCACCTACGCCAACTGCGCGCAATGTTGTAAATCAGAGAAGACGTAATTCTAATGGATGACGTCCGAGGATGGGCTCATACAGAGATCCAGACAACAAAAGTAGAAATCGGATTTCTCACGAAATTTATAGTGAAGCGGTTATTGCAGACAGTAATGGAATCACAACAGCGACATATGAAATGCCGGAGGAAGCTATTTTATCCACTGTAAATGGGAAATCAATGGAACTCAAAATATTGTAACTGCAAGGAAAAGTCTTCTTGTTCTAAATCCACAACAATACACAAAGATACTTGGTTGTAATGGACAATTATCTCTGGCTTTAGTTAGTCAAAATTCTTCAATTAACTCGAAAGGGGCAACTGAATATACATAATTTCGTCTACACGAAATTCAAACAACATTTGTTACGTTTACACCGACAACAATTCGCTGCCAGAAGATTCCGTTTTCAGTAATTTTGCCATCCACGGCGTATTCTGTTGAACATGTCGTTTCACGGAGTATATAACCGACACTATTGATATTTCGCCTACACATTCGCAAGTACCTATGGTGAACAGTTTACTTTTACAACTACTCTTACTACCACAATTAAATCAGCATCAATATAATTCTAATTTCAATCAAGTTTCAGCCACTCAACAAAGCTTGGGTAGTTCTATAAGTACACAAGAGGAAAATGTAAAGTATGCTTATAACACGGAAGTAGAATTAGATGAAAATATTGCGAAACGTCAAACTATACCAGGCATGTTAAGAAAATCTGGTAAAAACATAAGCGCAGACGCAAAGACGAGACTAAACTTGAAGATTCCAGCATCATAACGTTATATGTGTCAGAAAAAAGGCCAGGTGAATTTAGCATAATTTTGTCAACATTAAAAGCCGATCATTCATTACCAAAACGTTTCATACAGAGTACAATAGAAATAAATAAAATAAAAAATTATATAAAAATAAAAGGACACTGTCCTTCATGCTAATAAATTTCTAAATATTTTTTAACCGCAAGTGCTACCTCATAATTTATTTCTTAAACTTATTGTCTCATTTTATGTCTAGAAGAGAATATACATTTGAATGTTAGTCTTCCACAAATTTCAAAACTAAAAAAATATGTCGGTAGTATTACACTTTGTTTGCATTATTACCTCATATTAATTCTCTCTATATTTTCTTTATAATATAGTAATGAAACTAACTGTTAAAAAAGATTGTAAATATTTTTCGCATATGATTAAGCTCGTTGAGATCTGTCAATGTCAACAGATTTCAAAGAGTGAAAAATTTCGTCTACGGCACCCACTTTCATGTTGGGATTGTTGCTTGTTATTGTTGAAACATACTCTCTCCTCTTCTATCATTGAATTCGAGTTAACCACCAAACTATTTACTTGCTGTAGATAACTCCCGGCTTTTGATTTTACATTTAAATTTAACCCTCTATTGTGTACATATCGTTGGACTTTGCATTCCTCGTTGTCATAACATTGGTCACTTTGCACTAGATTACGAATGAAGCCATCAAAACCAATTAATAAAATGATGAAAAAATTATATATTTTGATATTTTCGATCCATACTGGCGAACTGCAAAACAAAATCCTAGGATTCTATTCGAAGGTCTCACCGAGCTGAATGCAAGTATTGTAAATAGACTACAGGTTCCGCTCAATGAGTTCTTAAATAACGTTATGACAGTAATATAATGACTCGTCCATTGACTTATATTAATACAGAAACATTCAAAAGGTTTAGAGGATAACAGTGTAAACCCAGAAATAGAGAGTGAAATAGCTTATAATACAACATACACGATTTATTCCTACTTGACTACATATTTACACAATCCTTCAATAGCCCTACTTAGTGAAAATAGAAAATCAGTTAACAGAACAGACCACTCCAGGCATTTTAAAAATGCAATAAATATGGGACATAAAAATGAAAATTTTAGCTCATTGTCCTTGTTTTCTACTTATTACTATCATTCAAATAGCGATGTCATGTCAGACATTGAGTTGAGAAAACGGCATAAAACTATCTCAGTACATCCTTATCTACAATCAATGCTAATATGTTAAAGAGAAGTAGGCAAAACAAATTTTATGATTCAAGCGTAAACATGATATCGAGTGCGCCATCTATATTAATATTACAAACTGGATATACCCCACATACGTACTTCATAACTCGTTACTCGTTTCGACTGGTAAGGCTCTTTCTAATCCGAAGAGGCCATATAAAAGTCGACCAAGGAGATCGGCCTAGAATATCGCTGCCGTACGAGCCAGTGTTGAGATGTCCCCAAGAACATCCCAAAAACGCCGTTCTCAGCAGTTGGGCATGGCTCGGTCCACTTTACAACGGATTATTCGCATTGATTTGCATTTGTTCCCGTACAATTGACGCAAAGAATGTTGCCTGCTGACAAGCCTCGTCGATTGGAATGGGCCCAAAAAAACATGGGTCCGTCGAATATGGGCAACCCTGTATGTAAATGAGTGGTAAGTGTTAGTGGAGATTGGGGCCCTCTAAATGTTTCATATTTATTAGGATCAAAGGGTCAAGGATGGGCGGGTAAAGTGTGGGAGCAAAATAACAACAAGTTTCCTTGTCATGGTTGTTTGTAGTGTTTGTCGTTTTATTTTGTGTTTTTATTCATTATGTAATTTCCTTTTTGTTTGTTAGACCCCTAGGGCTGATGGTGGAAGGGTTGAGAACCCCCTGACGTAAATATGCCTCGCTGAGGCTGTCGGAATCCCATCATTCACCGCTTCAAGCGGCACGTAACAGTATGGCTTCTAAGTTCCCAACAAACACTTCTAAATATAGGCTTCCAGTAAAACGATCTCGAAGACATACAAAATATTTACGAATCGAGCAATGTTATACATATGGTTCCACTTTACCTACAATACAGAAAAACACTCTGAACTATGAAGTCCCTATGTATACAGCTCCGGTGAAATGTCATTACAATGCTACTTTAATTAAGCGTGAAGCAGTAAGAAGTCGATTTAGAAAACCCAAGCCCATAGTCGAATCAAGATACGAAAACCATGATAATGAGGAAGGAAACTATTTAGGTACCATGCAAATACAAAATACCGATCTGATATCCGGAATAAAAATATGGTTGCTTCAACACACATAAGTTTGAACAAGCGCTTGATAAGACCATCACGCGTCTTATCCGAGGCATACGACAAATGTAAGTTTACTTTACGCGACAAAGGACTCAAAACAAGTCCAGAGAAACCTGTCCAGAGAGGAAATTTTCTCAAGCCTCAAGGTATTATAAACAATAAAGGAAGAAGGCCAACTGCTTCTTTCTCTACGTTACGCCCCGGAAAGCGAAGGCCATCCAGTCCACCAAAAGATAATGAGTCACCTACGCCAACTGCGCGCAATGTTGTAAATCAGAGAAGACGTAATTCTAATGGAGGACGTCCGAGGATGGGCTCATACAGAGATCCAGACAACAAAAGTAGAAATCGGATTTCTCACGAAATTTATAGTGAAGCGGTTATTGCAGACAGTAATGGAATCAATGGAACTCAAAACCATTGTAACTGCAAGGAAAAGTCTTCTTGTTTTAAATCCACACTAAAACACAAAGATACTTGGTTCTAATGGACAATTTTCTCTGGCTTTAGTTAGTCAAAGTTCTTCAATTAACTCGAAAGGGGCAACTGATTATACACAATTTTGTCTACACGAAATTCAAACAACATTTGTTACATTTACACCAATCACAATTCGCGGCCGGAAGACGTCGTTTTCATTAATTTTGGCATCCACGGCGTATTTTGTTGAATATGTCGTTTCAATAATGAAACCAAGCATACAAGCAGATACGCCATTAGCTACTATACTACTTTCACAATTGCTACTAGAAAATATTGGATTCCCCTTTGGATTGGATTGGGGTAACACAATCGACGGAGTATTTGACGCGTACATCTACTTATTTGACTAATCTATATGAGGGTAAATAAACCGTACTACCTATAAAATTTCAAGGCAAGAAAATATATTCTACTATATAGGATACCATTGCCGAAACCATTACATTACATTACAGATCATAACGTTATATTTGTCAGGAAAAAGGCCAGGTGAATTTAGCACAATTTTGTCAACATTAAAACCAGATAATTCATTACCAAAACGTTCCATACAGAGTACGATAGACATAAACAAACCAAAAAATAATATAAGAACAAAAGTTGAAAAACATACATATGGTACTACAAAATCCTTGGATAGCGTAGTAGGCGATGTCAATAAGTGTTTCGTGGGCCAAGGACACTG